CAACACATACACAATTGTATATTGTTTTTGCATGGCCACTTGAACAAACATTACTTGATGATGACGGTGATTTAGCATTCAAACAACATGAAGAAATTATGTGCAGTACATTATCTCTCATTCTTCAAACAATTCATACAAAATCTTCTCATTTTCATCCATTTGTGTTTGTTATCACGCATCATGCGCAGCTTAATATCGGTTCTGATTGCAATTTAATCACATCACCAATTATTGGGCTTGCGCGAAGTTTGATGATTGAATACGAGCCACATCGATTAAAACTGATTGATCTACAAGCATCACTGACATCAATCAACAAGCCAATATTTGCGCGTGCTTTAATACAACATATGATGAATTCTCGATATTCAAATAATACGTCTGAAATTGTTTTGCATCTTGACACGAACGAAAATCAAGTCAAACATATAAAATGGCATTTTGAAATGCTTCAAAAATCTGTTGATGATGATAATAATAAACAAGAGAAATCTAAATTAGAACAAATTTCTATTATTCCTAAACGAGATGCTGATCAAAAACCATTTCGTATTTGTGTACCACAATCTCGTTTTCTTTCTGAATTAACATGGATTGAAGAAGATAGAGAAAAAGACTTATTACCAGGTATGGTAGAAGTTCGCGTTCATTGTGTTGGTATTAATTTTCGTGATGTACTTAAATCACGTGGTTTGTATCCACATACACGTACTTTTGCACAATCTGATGAAGATCAACCAAAAGTTAATCGAGATACAGAACCAGGTTCAGATTTTGTTGGTACTATTGTACGTGTAGGTCCTACAACTAATTTTCAGGTTGGTGATCATGTTCTAGGTACTAGTAGTCTTGGTGCATACCATTCTCATATTATAATTAATTCACAACTTATAATACGTATTCCATCTGAATGCCCACTTACCGATGAACAATTATGTGGTATGCCAACTCCACTTCTAACAGTTATATATTCTCTTAAATATCGTGCTCGTTTACAAGCTGGTCAAACTGTTCTTATTCATGCTGCAACAGGTGCTGCAGGTCAAATGTGTATTCAATATTGTCAATTTATTGGTGCTCGTGTTATTGCTACAGCTGGAACTGATGAAAAACGACGTTTTCTTCATGAACATTATGGCATTGAACATGTATTTAATAGTCGAGATGCTTCTTTTGTTAATAATATACGTCAGATTCTTCCACAAGGTGTTGATGTTATTGTTAATTCATTATCAGATAATTTACTAAAAGAATCAATTAAATTATTAGCATATCATGGTAATTTTGTTGAATGGGGCAAACGAGATGTTTATCATAATGGGAATTTATCAATGTTTCAATTACGATCAGATTGTAGTTTTCATGTGATTGACTTCACTGGACTTGTTGATCATGTATTACCTATTATTCGTCTTATGCTAGAAGAAGCAATTGATTTATTTGTTCAATGTAAATTACGTGCTGTTGAACCAACAGTTAGTTATGAACCATCTCAAGTAATAGAAGCATTATTAAGATGTAATAGTGATCAAGTTATGGGTAAAACAGTTTTTCGTATAACTTCATCTGATCAACCATTAAATATTAATAAAAAACAATCTAATAGTTTATTAAAAGGTAATCATATTTTATATTTTCTTTTTTTTCTTTTATTATTTTCTTAATCAATAGTTGTAAGTGATAATACAATGTTTCCATCAGAAGTTTGTAATCAAGGAACAGTTTTAATATCTGGTGGTTTTGGTGGTCTTGGTTTAACAATGTCTCGTTGGATGATAGAGAAACGCTATGTTAAACATATAACACTGATGAGTCGTCGAACCTTAGCTGAACTTGAGCAATCTTCCAATCCGCAATATGATGATTGGTTACGATTGAAACGAACAGTAAATGAATATAATGCTCATGTTGATGTTGTACAAGCAGATGTAACAAATTTTCAACAAGTTCATGATTTGATTGTAAGACTTAATCAAAGCTCTTATCCTGTTCGAGGTATTATTCATAGTGCTGTTATTGCAGAAGATCGTACTCTCAGTAATTTAACACAAGAACATATAACACGTGTTCTTGCACCAAAGGCTCGCGGTGCTTGGATTCTTCATCAAGTAACACAACTTACTCATACTCCGCTTCACTTTTTTATTATGTTTTCATCAATTCGAAATCATCTCCTTGAATTAGCATCTGCCGGTTACAATGCTGGTAATCAATTTCTTGATGCTCTTGCACATTATCGTAT